GTGGAATCCAAGCAGCCGGTGTTTCTCGGACAAGAGACTGTGTCCACGGGAAGCTCCACTGCTGCCACTCTTGTTCAAGCCACCAAACCTCGGAGTCCGGATAACCACAGTAGCCTCCTAACCAGCTTCCTTCTTCGACTCCCAAACTCATACAAATCCATTTTCCACCCAGCAGCTGCAATAATCTCTCTAAAACACAAACCAGGCAGTGACGCTTGCTTAAAAGCCTCCCATTGCACTTAGGATAAAATCCATTTTCCTTCCAAGACCCTTTACCTCTGTGATCTCATCTTGTACAGCTCTCTCTCTTCTCACATTTTTTCCTTGACCACACCGGGCTTGCTCCTACCTGTGACCCTTTACAAGTCCCATTCCCTCTGCCTGGAGCACTATTTTCCAGGTCTTGGCATGCCTGACTCCTCCTCATTCAGGTCTCAGCTCAAGTATCCCCTTTGGAGAGAACTGCCCCCTTTCTGTTCAGTCTAAAAGTAGTAGCCCCCTCCCCCCTTCTCTTTCTGTCCCATTATTCTGTTTTGTTTTCTTCATGTGCTTGTTACTACCTAAAATTGTCTTCTTAAAATTTTTTATCTATCTTTGCTACTAAAATCTAAGCTCCTTAAGAGCACAGACTTTTTTTTGTCTACCACTGAATCTCTAGCACCTGGAACAGTGCCTGGCACATAGCAGACACTCAAATATTTGTTGAAGGAATGAATAGTATCAAATGCCTCTCATTTCCTAATTTAGATACAATAATATACTTAAAAATCTCAGTCTGTTTTATGGAAGACTATCCCTTTCCCCCTGCCCACCTTTAGGATAATTTTCTTTCCACAGTTGGTGATGCGTAGGCTGACCCCAGGATGCCAAATTCCAAGACCAATTGGGAAAAGTTGAAGTGCTATACAAGAGAATTTTTAACACATTGGGGCCATTGGGCTCCAAAATCCATCCTTCCACCTGGAAAGTAATTCCTGAGGTCTATGGCTTCATGGATCAATCTACTGGGAGGCTGGGCTTCCTTACCTTTAAAATGGTGATTGGCTGTGTCTTCTCTCTGGGGATCTTAGCCTCTTAACTCCACGTGGGAGAGAGAAGAGCTCTGGCTTTGGAGAATTCAGTCCATAGCTAGAGTTATCCACCTAGAGATTCTGGGCCATTCCATAACGTAGTGTGATGGGAGGGGCTTTGAAAAGGTCCCCTACCTTAAATAACTCCACCACCATTTGTCACAGTGGCTGAAATTTCACGTTAGCAATTACTTCCTGTGAAAGGTTGCTAGATAAAAATACTTTTATTTGCTAACCCTGACAACCCTATTCCTGGTAATGGTTGCTATCTGAGAGAATGGCTAGAGAAATATAGTACGGTTTCCAGGCAGAATTAAGGGTTCATTGTAGGTTAGCAGTCATGAATCTGAAGCTAGATCAGTCAGCATGGTTCTGGGCTTTTCTACAGACCATGTTTAGCTGGGTGGGTGCAGGTACAGAGTTGGGAGAAGAAATGGATTTAACCAGGACCAGGATTTAGTCAAACAAGGGTGCTGAAGAAATAGGGAGGAATGGGGTTTAGGGGTATGCAAAGGAATAATTATGATTGATCATGGAACTTAAATTTAAGATGGGCAAGGAAAGAAATAAGGGGGCAGCCACCACCCATCTGTCAGTGGTGGCTTGTGTATTGCTATGATGCTGAACAGGTTTCAGCACAGCTTCCAGACTAAGACAGACCAGGAAGAATGGCCTGGAAGTCTATTTACAAAAATCAGCCAATGAAAACCCTATGGATCATAACGGTCTGATTTGTAACTGATCATGAGGATGGTGCAGGACTGGACAACAGTTTTATTCCACTGTGCATGGGGTCACCATGAGTTAGGGACCAGCTCAATGGCAGCTAACAACAACTATAAAGACATAGGAGGGAGTGAGGAACAGTGAAAACATTGCCATGCAGAAAGAAGAGAAGCGCTGAGCCTGAGTCCCAGATGAATCCTAATTCCACCACTAATTACTCCCCATATGACTTTGGGCAAAGACACAAGAGACTTCAATTTCCTTTGCCTGACTGCTTCACAATGTTGTTGAGGGATTCAGATGAGCTAGAGACCTTAAGAACCATAAAGCAGGATAGAAATGGGAGAGATTAACATTTTATTTCATATTTTTTCCTAAGGCCATAAGGGGGTTTCTGTGGAGGAAAAAGGCCAGGCTAGAGCAGCAATGATTGCAATGGAATAGGAGACTTTTAGAAAGAGCCCTGAGACCATGCTTATCATCTTGCTTTCTCCATGGACAGCAATCACAATTTTGGACTAAGCACTTAAGAATGTTTATCTTGTTTAATCCTTACAACATTACCTGCCCCCGTTCCACAGAAGAGAAAACTGAGGCAAAAAGAAGTGCTAGTAGGTGTAGAGATAGGACTAAAATTGAGCTGTAACCAACTCCAAAGTCCATGCTATTAGCACTGGTCCATACCACCTCCCTATGTCCTATGATATGCTGAGTTTCTACCCAGAATACCCTGAGACTTGATCTTTTGCCGGAGGACTCATTATTTCTGGTTCACTGCAGACATCTTCCTCACCCACCCTCCACTTCCAGCCCTCACCAGCCCAGCTGGAGGGCAGGGGCGGGGGGAAGTGGTGGAGCTCAGGGGGCTTGATTTCTAAATCCTCTCCCACCTGTGAGGGTCAGGCTGTCTCACCAGGAGACAGGATCTGTGTGACTGAGCACCAGACGCCTTGTACCCAGGGGCCTGGATACCTTGTGGGGTTACCAGCCCAGCCCCTCCTCTGTTCACCCACCTCACTCTCCTGTTTGGGCAGGCCCAGCACTTGCCTGCTGCTCTGTCACCAAGCCAACAGGCCTGCCTTCCTCAGGCTGTTTCTAACAACACTCCCCCACTGAGAGCCGGCCAGAGAGTATAAGAGTCCAGCTAGCTGTGGGTGTCTCAGATCCATCCCTGCCTTCCTTCGAACAGCAGACAGACAGACGGCCACCAGGCAGCATGGTGAGCAGGGTGGGGGACTGAGGATGCCACTGAGGGTCCCAGCAGACCCAGGTGGCTGGTGTGAGGGAATGTTGCAGAGTTTAGGTGTTCATGGGGTGTTCATGTGTGGTGAGGTGAAGTAGGGGAGAGAGAAGGAGATTTCCAAATGTGAATATGGCCTATTGAGTGCAGGGCATGTGGGGGCATGCTCAGGGGCTGGGGAAGAAAAGGGCAATTGTACCCCGGGCATGGCTTTGAGCCTAGGCTGCCTGTAGGAGGGCTCTGAGTTTAGGGGTGGGGAGTGTAGGGTGGCAGGACTTAGGAAGAAAGGGTACTTTCCTACACTGGCTGACTCTCCAAGCCCTAGCCCCTCAGCAAGCTCACTGTTGACCTGGTCCCACCTCCCAGCTGGGGGAACTTGCCCTCCATTGAAGTGGCTGCCCTCTGGTTTTCCCCATAGCCCTGCCCCTCTGCTGTGTCTTTGTCTGACCTCTCATTTCTCACCAGTTACACACCAGGGTGCGTAGGGACAGGGAGGAGGGAGAGGGAGGTCCTCCCATTTATGGAGAGCTGGGCGGTATGTGGGGCTCACTTGATATCTTGAACCGTTGCCCCACCAGGCAAGATAGAAGAACGGTTAAAAGCATGGTTGGAACCAGGAAGTCCTGGCTTGACATATGGATTGTTTTGCTCATGATCTTGAGCAAGCTGCTTAACCTTTCTGAGGGTGATTTTCTTCATCTGTAAAATGGGATCATAAAAGTTCTTACCTAAGGGAGTTATTGTGAAGATTAAATGAGATAATGTCTGTGAAGGGCTTAGTGCAGTGCCTGGCACTTGAATTAAAGTTTTATAAATGGTAGCTAAACAACACTCAGGAAAGGCTGTGATTATAGAGATTATTGTTATAGAGAGAGTATACTATTTTTACAGTCAAGAAAAAGGAGCTGAGGAAGCTGAGGTGAAGTAATTTGTCTGAGGTCATAAAGGAATGGGGTTTGAGGCCAGATATGAGAGAATCCAGAGGCTGAGCTCTTTGTCCCAAATGTACTGTCCACAGTAACAGTGGTGCCCATTTTTTCCCAGCATTTCAGGTGTACATCCCTGGTGGCGAAGTGGTTAAGAGCTCAGCTGTTAACCAAAATGTTGGCAGTTCCAATCCACCACCTGCTCCTTGGAAACCCTATGTGGAAGTTCTACTCTGTCCTATAGGGTTGCTATGAGTTGGAATTGACTTGACGGCACACAACGACAACAGCAAGAGGCCAGAGACACCCCACATAGGCCAGCAGTTCTGTCTGTGTGTCTGGCTTGGTGGACAGAGTCTGAGCAAGCTCCAAGGTGCAGCAGCCAGCCTGCTGGCCTGGCCAGGGAACTGGTGAGCCGGGTCAGCCTCCCTCCTAAACCCGTTGCTCTTGAGTCGATTTTGACTAGGTGACCTCATGTGTGTCAGAGTAGAACTGTGCTCCACAGGGTTTTCAATGGCTGATTTTTTCAGAAGTAGATCGTCAGGCCTTTCTTCCGAGGTACTTCTGGATGGGCTCAAACCACCAAACTTTTGGTTAGTGGCCAAGAACTTTAACTATTTGCACTAACCAGGGACTCTGCCTCCCTCCTGGACCTCCCTAGGTCCAGGATTTCTCTAGTCCTTGTGTCCTACATCCCTTCCAGCCTAACTCATCACCTTCTCTTATTATGACCTCTGGAACTGAAGGGTGGGTAGGGCACACTCCAGTATGTGTCAGGCAACAAGCCAGGCACTTTGCATGCATTATTTCATGTAATCTTCATAATAATTTTAGGAGGTAGCTCTTATCATCTCCCCCATTTCACAGAGGAGGACACTGACAGAGAGATTATGACTCTTGCTCAAGAAAGGTAGAGTAGTAATGGGGTTGGTATATGGATTATTTATGGATGAATCATGATTATCTAAAAATCATAAAGAGTCAAGTCACTTGTGTCATATGAAAGAGTCAGTGAAATGTTAAATTTCTGGAGAAAGCATCCCCATTAAAATGTTTTGAAATATTTCAGACATGCAAAAAGGTATAAAGAATAATGTAAGAACACTGTGCCCCAGTTTAAGAAATAAAATCCCTTTCCGATTGCGCCATCTCTGTCCCCTTCCAAAGAGAACCATTATTCCAAAATTGGTGTTAAAATTTTCCGTTGCTTTTCTTATTTTTGTAATACACACATATATTATAAGAACTTATAGTGAGTATATTAATTTATCTGTTAAACAGTACATAGTATTGCTTTGCAAGTTTAAAAAAAAAAAAAACTGTTGCTGTGGAGTCGATTCTGACTCATAGTGACCCTATAGAACAGAGTAGAACTGCCCCATAGAGTTTCCAAGGCTGTAATCTTTATGGAAGCAAACTGCCACATCTTTCTCCCATGGAGTGGCTGGTGAATTTGAAAAGCTGACCTTTTTGTTAGCAGCTGAGTGCTTAACCACTACCAGACCAGGGCTCCTTCTTTGCAAGTTAAAATACATATAAATGGTATCATAGTATATGATACCATCATGCTTGGTAAAGTAGAAGGTCAGGGAAAAAGAAGAAGACCCTCGTTGAGATGGATTGACACAGTGGCTGCAACAATGGGCTCAAGCATAATGATTGTGAGGATGGCGCAAGACCAGGCAGTGTTTCGTTCTATTGTACATAGGGTCGCTATTAGTGGGAGCCAACTTGACGGCCCCTAACAACAACAGCATATGATTCTTCTCAATCTGCTTTTTTTCTCCACGTTTTTTGGTCAAGATTCTTTCTTATAGTCCATTCATTTCCACTTCTAAATCATTGTTTATCCATTCTTTCCTGTTGAAGGACATGTATTGGTTTCAGTTGCTATGCTACTGTGACAGTACCTGCTCTCTTGCTTCTGCTTTCTTGCTACTGTGACAGTACCTGCTCTCTTGCTTCTGCTTTCTTGCTTACCTGTGCAAGCACTTCTCTAGAGCACGAGAATCTTCAGCTTTAATAAACACTGCCAAGTTATTCTCCAAAGAAGATGCTCACTTTAGGTTTTGTCTTAGTCATTTAGTGCTGCTATAGCAGAAATACCACAAGTGGTTGGCTTTAACAAAGAGAAATTTATTCTCTCATAGTTTAGGAGGCTAGAAGTCCAAATTCAGGGTGCCAGCTCTAGGGGAAGGCTTTCTCTCTCTTTGGGTTCCAGAGGAAGGTCTTTGTCATCAATCTTCCCCTGGTCCAGGAGCTTCTCAGCTCAGGAATCCCAGGTCCAAAGGACATGCTCTGCTCCCAGAGCTGCTTTCTTGCTGGTATGAGGTCACCCCACCCTCTACTCTCTGCTCACTTCTCTTTTATATCTCAAAAGAGATTGACTCAAGATACAACGTAATCTCGTAGACTGAGCCCTGCCTTATTAACATAACTGCCTCTAACCTTGCCTCATTAACGTCACAGAGGTAGGATTTACAACACATAGGAAAATCACATCAGATCACAAAATGGTGGACAATCACACAATACTGGGAATCATGGCCTAGCCAAGTTGACACACATTTTGGGGGGACACAATTCAATCCATAACAGGCTTCCACCAGCAGCATGAGACTTCACAACTTCCACCTTGTTAAGCTTTAAAAGTTTGGGGAAATTTGATGGATGTGCTCCTTTGGTTTTTAAGTAATTACTTTCCAAGCAGAGCAAGGAGACATATTCTAGTATCCCACTTACCACACTGTCATTTATCTGTTAATGTATCGGACTCTCCCCACCCTGGACACTGGGCTTTTTGAGAGCGGGGGCCGTGTGCAATGTGTTATGGATTCCCAGCACCTGCATAGTATGCGGCACATAGCTGAGGCTTAAATAACTGTTGGATGAAGCAAGAAGGTCAAAACTTCTTAATTCTCATGGAGTGCCCCAGGAAAGGCACAGAACTTTCTCTTTTCTAGAACCAAGCAGATTATCCCAATCCTGCTTCAGGGGACAAGGGTTCTTTGATCATCAGTCTTGAATCACATGGGGAGAAACTTTCTTCCCAGATTCACTCTACTCAGGAGCCATACACACCCAAGAGAGGAAACAACAGCTCATGCACATCAAGGCCTTGGTGGACCTTCCTGGATTCCAAGCCCACTCTTCCCTTCCTCCCTGGTATTTCTAGCTGTAACATGAAACCAGAATTCTCTCTGCTTTTCTAAACCTCTTCCTTATCTCTGACCCCTGAAGCTTCAGTTGGATCTTGTTTATTCCCTCACTGCCAGTGGAGTCAATTCCAACTCATGGCAACCCCATTGTGTGTCAGGGTAGAAATGTGCTCCGTAGGGTTTTCAATGGCTGATTTTTTGGAAGTAGATTACCAGGCCTTTCTTCTGAGGCACCTCTGTGTGGAATTGAACTTCCAACCTTTCAGTTAGCAGCTGAGCACAATAACCATTTGCACCACCCAGGGACTCCATTCCCTTACCAATGGCCCCTCATCTCTTTCTAAACAAGAATGGGCTGGCTATCATGCTCCACCAGATGCATTTGATCCCCTTCAGTGTTTCTCAAGATGCTTAGTCACTGGGCAAGACTCTTTAATCTTAGAACTGCCCACATCTTCTGCCTCCCCAGAAGGTTTTGGCCCAGTCCTTAGAGCCAATGCCTATTGGTCCTCAGTAGCACCAGTGAATGCTTGGCCACAGGGGGTGAGCAAGGAGAGCAGGGTCCCAGAATCTTTGCCCTCACCCAGAGAACCACTCAAGGAAGGAAGGCAGGAACCATGTCCAGGCATGATACTCTTCTGTCTGCTAAAGATGTTCTCTGCTCTTTGCTCCCTTAGCGTGAGTGCATCTCAGTCCACGTCGGGCAGGCTGGCGTGCAGATTGGCAATGCTTGCTGGGAGCTCTACTGCTTGGAGCATGGGATCCAACCTGATGGGCAGATGCCCAGTGACAAGACCATCGGGGGAGGTGACGACTCCTTCAATACCTTTTTCAGTGAAACTGGGGCTGGAAAACATGTGCCCCGCGCAGTGTTTGTGGACCTGGAGCCAACTGTGATCGGTGAGTGATGGTAGTCCCAGCCTTAGCCTTGTCCCTGGGTATCACAGCAAGTCCTTCTCCATAACTGGAAAACACTGGAGTTTGTGGTTATAGCCTCCCAGTTGCTGCAACCAATTAGAACTCCAAATCTGCAGAATCACTGTCACTCAGCTCCTGAGTCCCAGGGTCACCCCACCTCCCTTTTCTTGTCATCAAAGAACACTTAAAGTCACGGACAATAGCAGCGGCCTGAATGTGGCTCCTTTAGGGTAGGACCTGGGGCCTACTCCTCCCCTTCTGTTTACCCTGGAACTCTGGGAGCCAGGTGCAAGGGGATGTGAGGTCCAAAACTCTGCCCGTTGCAGATGAGGTTCGGACGGGTACATATCGTCAGCTCTTCCATCCAGAGCAGCTCATCACAGGCAAGGAAGATGCAGCCAATAACTATGCCCGAGGTCACTACACCATTGGAAAGGAGCTCATCGACCTGGTGCTGGACCGGATTCGGAAGCTGGTGAGGGAAGGCTTAAGGGAATGCAGATTCCTGTCATGAATGGTCTGGAGACCAGGCAGTGGGGAAAGAGTAGTTTCAGCCCTTGGTAGAGCCTCATGAACAAGTCTTAAACATGCAGGATCAGGACCAGTGAGGAGGGCCCTGCACTCTGATCAGGGGAAGCAGACTGGAGGCTTCTGTAGCTGAGGTCCTCTATCTTCTCTGGTGACTGGTTGATGCTGGGCAGAGTGATGACTAGTGCAAACATCTCCATAGGCTGCCTGGCCAAGTCATTCTTACAGCATCCCAGAAAAGCATCTTGCATTGTCACAGATGTGGGCAGAGGTCCTGTGAAAAACAGGGGCTTCAATATGGCCCAAAGCCTTGCAATTGACCTTGACAACCACAAAGGATGGGAATCAGGTTCCTGGACTGTTGATCAGTAGAGAAGTCTCCCCAGAAACATCAGAAGATGAATCAGGAGGGCATGGGTATGAGACAGGGTAGAGCTGGCAAGTTATGATGACAAAAATGACTATTGCACGAGATTCAGGAGAGCTGTCTGTTAAGGACTTCAGGAGTTTTCCTAGATAGAAAGGACAAGGAGGAGAAAGAGTGGGTCTTCCCTATGAGGATTTATTTTGTGCTCTTGGGAAAGTCTTCAAGGATTTTATGAATCTTTTGGGGATTTGAAACAGCATAAATTGGTTCCTTCCTGTTTGTCCCCTGCACTTCACATCCCATATTTCTCTTCCTCTTAACTTTCTAGGCTGACCAGTGCACAGGGCTCCAAGGATTCCTCATCTTCCACAGCTTTGGAGGGGGCACCGGCTCTGGCTTCACCTCACTCCTCATGGAGCGGCTCTCTGTTGACTATGGCAAGAAGTCCAAGTTGGAGTTCTCCATCTACCC